ATCCCAAACTTGACGATGCATCCATGCATGAGAGAACAGCCAAGTCGGTACAAAGCCACTGATGGATTTCTGGATGCAGGTCAAGTCGATAGAAGAAGAGATGCTAGGGAATGGCGCTGCTCCGTGGATTTTTGGATTCAGTTTTCATGGACACCTGCGAAGCTCACCTCCGCCATATTCACCTGGCTCGCCCAGCCCCGCCGCGTGGCCCACCTCTTCCTCGTCGGCGCGGCTGTGGTCCGCCACGCCTAAATCCTCATTGTCTTGGCTCTGCTCTCTGCCCGCCCGCCCGGTACGGGCGGCTCTGCTCCGCCCATCTTGCCGTGTGCCGACGCCTCGCTCGCCCTTCCCTTGCCCCATTGCTTTGCCGCTGCCTGCTCGCTGCTCGCCCTCCGTGCGCTGCCGGTGAGGACGAAGGGACAGAGAAGACGGCTTAGATTTTTGGCGGGATTCTTTCACCTCGCGTGCGCGCAGCAAGATCCGCGCGGCGTCGGCTCAAGACGACGGCTCCGTACACCACAAAGCCAGCCGTCGAGTCCATCTAGGAGCACGAGCACTCGCCGTCGTCTCACGACGCGACGGCTTCGCTCTCTCTCCTCATTTACTGTAGCGATGGAGGGGGATATTGCAAAATTAGCACTCGGAGACGACGACCAGCACGGCCGTTGTACGTGCCCTTAGCGAGATGAATCTATTAAGCCTAATTGACTCATTATTAGTAAATATTTATTATAGCACTACATTATCAAATTATAGATTAATTAGATTTAATAGATTAGCCTATGTTTAATAGTATCGAAGATTCGTGTGGCTGAGAGGGCAGCGCGCGCGCGTCGCGGGTGCAGGGGCGGGCTGGCCGCCGCGTACTTTCGTCCGCGTCCGTGCTGCGCTGCTGGAGTGCTGGTGCATGTCTAGCGCGAGCTGGTGGGGCGTAGTAACTGCGCAGCGTACAACTAGTACGCGCCTGGCCGTCCCTCGAGCTGCGCGTTCCACGTTCTCGCGACTGCACACACGGCACTGCTGGCTTGCCTGGACGCGGAGACATCGGGCCTGCCTGGAGAGAAAATCGAGACATCGAGGGGGCTGGTTGAAACCAACAAGTACCGATCGAGGAGTACCGCGACTGTCAGATTGCACCCGCGTTATTACAGCCACCAACGCGTTTTCGCCGTAGTTTCCTGTTTAGATACCCTCAAAATTTCAAGTTTTTTCACTCTCTCTCCATCATATCAATTTTTAACTATTTGTATGGAGCATTAAATGTAGGTAAAAAAAATAACTAATTATACAGTTTAGTTGGAAATCACGAGATAAATCTTTTGAGCTTAGTTGGTCCACGATTGGACAATATTTACCAAATAAGACGAAAGTGCTACTATTTACCGGGTTGAAATTTTCTTCAATCTAAACAAGGCCCTAGTTTCCTATTTCGGTGACAAGAAAACAGGTTTATACCCTGTGCCCGCCTGCTGGGTTACAGGCGTGCGAACTGTGGCTGCACGTCCGGCCAAGCGCCCTGGCGTGACGCGGGTCAGCATCGCTACTGCTGATTGGTGTGGTGTGAGAGAAAAATAGTGTTCTAGCTAAAATTTTAGGATCATTTACGACCAAGCGAACAGGCCACGAATGGAGCAGGCGTGGGCAAAACTAACAGCCTGATCCATGTTACTGGCTGCTTGTGCCACTGCTAGAATCTAGTACTGCTTGTTTAGAATGTTCTAAAACTAGTTTATGGATCGATCTGTTTGGATCTTTAGCCGTTCTTCTGTTCTAATTTATAGATTGATTTGACTTTTTTAAATACATAATTTTTATTATACATCTAGATGTATCGCATTCTAGGTACATAGAAAAACCGAAATGATCTATAATTTGAGACAGATGACGATGATTTTTAGCCAAAGGACATCCGGATGGGCAGCTAAAAGCGAGGGCTTAACATGCACAGATAGCTAGATATCTAATATGAATAGATATTGGATATTTGGTCGCCGGATAATCCAGATAGCTAGATTGGACATTCAATGATAAACTTCAGCTAGAAAGAATAAGTAAAGTATAGTTGGTTATCTTTTCTAAAGTGAATATAAGTATAAATTGTGAACTAAGTTCAAATCCAACTTTATTAAAATATTTTAATGAACTTAAATTATATTGGTAAAATGCAAATCGTCAGTTAACACAATTATTCTTTTGCTAAATAAATTTGAGAATAGTTTGATCCATTTGACAAAAAAATAAATATGTCCTCTTAATATAAGAGAATTTATATTTTTAGTTTTTTCTTGAAGTGTTTTGAAGAATTGAAAATATGTTACATATATATGTAGTTGTTACCTTTATTCGAAGAAATTATTGTGACCGATCTTATCCAGCTCCGGATTGCCCCTTATTTGAGAGATATTTATTCATAGACGGAAGTAATTCCGCATTCATTTTCCAAATTTTTCGTATCTGGCTCAGTGAAGAAAAATATGAAAATAAATATGGTGTGAACAATATCGTATGTATCTGATCTGATTACATCCTAACTAGGGCCTGTTTGGTTCCGTGGAACTACTTAGTAGTCCCCCCATTTTAGTCCCATTTAATCGCTAAATTGCCAAACATGAGACTAAAAGAGGGACTAAAGTGGGTTAGTCCCGTAGTCCTATTGAGGAATGGTTATTGGGACTACTAGCCCAAAAGGACAACCCATGTCTCTCCCTCTCACTCCTCCCTCACGAGACGTGCGGCTCCCTCGCGCGGCCGCCTGCTTCTTCCCCGCCGCCGCGCCGACACCCCACGAGCGCCACCCCTGCTCCCTCCACCTCGCCCTCTCCTTCCCTCTCTCCCTCTCCTCGCTCTAGTTCTCGGTTGGGATGAAGGGAGGAGGACGCTGAGCCATCTTGCCTCGCGACCCCGGGCATCTTCAATGCCGCCGTCGGAGCTGAGGCTGTGACCGTCACCACGCCCCTCTTTTCTCGTGCGCCACCCTGGCCCCCGCTGGGAGCTCCCCGCGGGGGCCGTGTCCGAGAACGCGGACGCGTTCGGCAAAGAGGAGAAGGGGGGATTCGACGGCGCACGAGCTTCTCGGGCGTTTTGGTCTTTGTTCAACTGTCTTAATGGTCTTTAGTCCCATTTAATCCCTTAAACTAAAACAGATTTGGAAACTATAGTTTAGTCCCTGTTTTAGTCACCGGTCCATGGACTAATGAACTAATCAGAGCCCTAGTAGGGCTAACTGAACAAAGTGATCTTTTTGGCAAAGGATTAAGAAGAAACGATCTGTGGCTTCTAGAACTGTATATACAGTAGTACGTACTACAGGTCAGCTTTTTACGTGTGAGACGGATAGTAACGCTTTGTTTAGTTCGCGAAATTTAGAAATTTGGCTAACGTAGTACTTTCGTTTTTATTTGGCAATTATTATTCAATTATGTACTAATTATGCTTAAAACGTTCGTCTCGCAATTTCCAACCAAACTGTGTAATTAGTTTTTTTTCGTCTACATTTAATGCTCATGCACGTATCGTAAGATTTGATGTGACGACTACTGTAGCACTTTTTTGGAAAGTTTTTGAACTAAATAAGCACTAACACGCCTGTTTTTATCACAGTTGAATTGTACGGCTAGGACAGTGAATTCATTGAAAAGAACCGTCCAGAGAGCTGCCTGTTTTTATAAGCAGCAGTAATGACAAAGTGGCTAGCGCCTAGGCAGGGAGTAGGGAGAGCCAGCCAAGATCGCAATAGGACGGCGCATGCTGCCGAGCCATCACCGCGAAACCAATCGTGCTTGCAACTTGCATTGCATAGATTCAGATCCTCCGGCGGTCCGGCCGGCCGGCTGGCATTGGCAAATGGCAAGCCGCTACCACTCCAGCCACGCCGGAAGCACTGTACCAATACCAACGCACATGCATACAGGCCAGCATACATACCCCGACCCGATCGACCCATGCGCATTCTAGGTGCGACACCCGGGCTCAATGATAGCAGCCGGCAGCCCACAGCGCGATCGAGTGCGACCTGTAATGCTCAAAGGAGCAGTGGCAAGACCGGGCAAGATTCCGCGGGCATTCATGGCGCCCGTCGCGGGCCGCCTAACCTCTGGGCCTCACCATGCATGCCTCGTAGTAGTAACGGGTAGGGGTTGCTGTAGTATATGCGTGTGTTAGGCTGCTATAGCTGTTACTGGCCGGCCACCTTGCTTGAGCGTGGCGGAAGTACGCTGCCACTGCCAGCGGCAGGGTCGCGATAAATGGACGCCGGACTCGACCGAACAGCGGAAGCAGAAGCAGCGCACGGCCGGCACGGCAAGAATTGAAAACGGACGCCGCTGATAAGGCTGTGGTTGGCGCAGCCAGCGAGCGAGGCAAGGGCAATGCAGCAGCAGCAGCAGCAGCAGCAGCAGCAGATGCAGAAAGTCAAGTCACAACACGGGGCGTGCCCATCCATGTTTGCCAGTGAGGGCTTGCTGTACTAACTTCACTTCATCATAAATTATTCAGGTAGAGTACAATGCTTGCTATAGTAATGTAATCGATCCAACTCGCAGTACATTTGCCTTGTTTCTAAATGGATGGACACAAGTAAATTATTATTAGTGGTGAAACAAATTTGGTAAAGAAAAAAGGTAAAAAAAAGAGAGAGAAGGGTACACGACGATCTAGAGGACCACGAGTACTATACGTGTGTAAATGGCCCGGATTTAACCCGGTGTACCCTCACACAACCACCTGTCCGGGCTGGAGCGCACCGCACACATGGACGCGTCAGGCTCGGCATTCAACGCGGCCGGCCTGGCCAGCACCACAAGCTAGTCCAAAACACATTTTTGTCACGTCGTCGTCGGCCTCCTCCTTCCTCCGAGACGAGACGAGATGCGCGAGAGAGGAAACGAACGGGACGTGACAGATCAGGCGCGGTTTCATTACCTTACCTGCTACGTGTACGTACACTACGATCGATCGATACCAGACAGACAGATCAGGCGGCGTCGGCCCAGGGGTAGCGGCTAGTGCTTGAGCACCTCCGGGATGTCCACGGGGTAGCGGCTGATGCTCTCCGCCCAGGGGCCCTCGGCGGTGCGCGCCGGTGCGATGCACTCCCACGCCGCGCTGTTGCACTTGAACCCGGAGCCGAAGCCGATCATCCACACGCGGTCGCCCCGGCGCATGCGGCCCTTGGCCTCGATGTACGCCAGCTCGTACCACACCGAGCTGCTGGACGTGTTGCCGAACCGGTGCAGCGCCATGCGCGACGCCTCCACGTCCTGGTCCGACAGGCCCAGGCTGCGCTGCAGCTCGTCGATGACGGCGCGCCCGCCCGCGTGGATGCAGAAGTGCTCGAACGCCGTGCGGAAGTCGGGGAGGTACGGCTTCACGCGCCGGTTCAGCACGCGCCGCGCGATGAAGGACAGCGCGAACAGGAGCTGCTCCGACGCCGGCAGCACCAGCGGCCCGATGGCGGTGATGTTGGCCTTGAGCGCGTCGCCCGCGATGGTCATCAGGTCCTTGGACAGGTTGATCCCGCGGTGGCCCTCGCCGTCCTCCTCCTGGAACACGCACCGGTACGCGCTGTCCTGGGCGCCCGTCAGCGTGCGCACCACGCGGGCGAGCCGGAACCGGGCCCGGGCGCGGGACGTGGACAGCAGCACGGCGGCGCCGCCCATGCGGAACAGGCAGTTGGGCAGCAGCATTGCGCGCTCCTTGCCCACGTAGTAGTTGGGCGTGATGGTCTCCGTCGACACCACCAGCGCGTGCGCGCCTTTCGGAGCGACCTGAAGGAAGTTCTTGGCCAGCCCCACGGAGATGAGCCCGGCGCTGCAACCCATCCCGGACAGGTGCACGTTGCGGATGTCCGGCCGCATCCCGTACCTGTGGATGATCATGTCCGTGAACGACGGGATGGGCGCGAACAGGCTGCAGTTCACTACCAGGATGTCGATGGCGCGGGGGCTGATGCCCGTCTTGGCGAGCAGGTCGTCGATGGCCGAGAAGATGACCAGCTCCACCTCCGCGCGCGAGGCCTCCATGTTCCGGTACGGCGGGATGTAGTGGTGCGCCGGGGGCAGGCAGGTCTCCTCCCCGAGGCCCGAGCGCTCCAGCAGCCGCGTCATGAACCGGACGCTGCGCTCGTCGATGGAGGCGCCCTCCACGAACGTCACCAGCTTGGCGTGCTCCAGGAAGGTGGCGAAGGGGACGCGGCAGTTGGGCCTCGTGCGGAAGCAGGCGTAGTCCACCAGGTACACGGACCGGGGCCGCAGCATCACGTACAGCGTCACCGCGGCGGCCGCGACGAACACGGCGAAGAATACGTGCACCGCCCGGAGCGCCTGCAACCTGCCGAGCAGCTCGTCGGGACCGACGCGCGCCGCATTCACGACGGCCGCCACGGCCAGCGGCGCAGCGAGCACGGCGACGAAGTTGTTCACCACGTGCTGGTACAGCGGCTTGAGCTGCTTCAGCTGATGAGCCGCCGACGAGCCCATGCTGCTTGCTGTCTACCAGCTGGCGTGCGCGTGCTCGAGCGAGACCACTGGCACTACTGTGGAGTGTGCGTCAGAGTGGCACGACTCACACTCAGCAGCTAAGCCTAAGCGACTGTGATCTTGGGAGCGGGAGGGAATGGGGAGGATTTAAAGCCGGTGTGATCAAGCCCCGAGCAAGGGAATTATCGACGCATGCATGTTGGTGTGGGCCACGGGGGGTCTTTACTCGCCCAGGCTAGCGACCAGCTCCATCGGCATGGTTCACCGATAAATCTGATGAAATCATCATGCCGCTAATTAAAGCCCTAGCTTGTACGCACTGATGGCCTCATCATCCCGAGGGCAGCAAAGTCATACGCGAATTTTAGAAATTGTCCTGCACAATTGGAACGTACATGTACCAGCAAATCGTAACTTCTATTTTGGTTTTGCGGTAGTTCATGTTTTGTACTACCTCCATTCCAAATGATACGTCGTTCCAAAAATCTTAAGTTTGACCAAATTTATAGAAAAAATTATAAAGATTTATAACATCAAATAAGTATACTATAAAAATATAATTAATAAAAAATCTAATGATACTTAGTTGGCATCATAAATGTTATTATCTTATCATATAAATTTGATCAAACTTGAAATACTTGGACTCTCTACGATTTTTGAAATGACTTGTAATCTCTACGATTTTTGAAATGACTTGTAATAATGCTCTGTATAATTTTGAGGCGGGAAGAGAGAAGCTGCGTGCCAAACCACGAATGAGGAAATTATTTTCTTGGTCTAAAAAAAGTGTTGCTTAGTTTTTAGCCCTTTTTTCTCGATCTTGCTTATTTGGCCCTAAAACCAAATTTGATTAGTTTCTAGGCCCTTTCATCCATTCCGCCAATATGTTCTGTGAACCGGCACCAGGAGCATGCCCGAAAAGGACCAAATAACCTTGCCTCTTCCGTGCAGGCACGTTACCCTTCATAGAAGGGCACCAGTCTCAGTAGAGAAAGCTGTATTAACAAAAAAGGCGTCAAGGTCGGTGGAAACCCTAGCCGCCACTGGCCATGGAGGGTGGCTCGGTGAGGTCCCGCCGATGGATCCACCTCAGCCGGTGCTGGATCCACCTCAGGCACGCCACAGGATAGCGGCCCGGCTGGTGTCAGGCCTGGCCAACGGCCGCGCTGGGCTGGGCGCGGTGGGACTGGCCGAGCAGGGAGCCGTGGGGTAAGGCAACGTGTAGGGCACGAAGAGGCAGGGCGCCGCGAGTGAGGGCGTGGCGAGCGATGGCGCCGAGCAGGTCATAGCCGGCCGCCCTGGCCTGGCCATCGGCTGTTCTGGCATGGCCGCCGTTCACTCTGGTCGGATGTCCGATGCAGCTGTTGGCCAGGCTTTGCAAGGGAATGATGGAGACGACGAGCATAGTGACTTGATCGGGGGGTGAGTCTAGCATCATCGTTTTTTCATTTGCATCACCTACAAATTTGCATGGCTGTGAGTATGGCGGATTCCTTGTGTTAACAGGTTGGATTCTAATTTCAAGTTGGAAATCAAATTGTTGGGCAACAGTAAGACTCGTAGAAAGGATGTTAAATGTTTTAGCTTTTGAGATGGATGTGGATTCAGATAGAACAAATTACAAGGATTTGGAAGAATTAGTGGTAGAGAAATATCGTCCAGGGTATGTGGAAGTAGCTCATATTCAGTACTACGATGAACCTCTAAAAACCTTCCCTAAAATAAAATCCAACTAAGATTGATGTGTGTGTGTTTAGTAAGCACTGCAAGAGCAAGATTATCATCATGTTCATTTTATATCGAGGCCGTTCTGATCCATATGAGCCAGTCACAACGTGGAATTTTAATGTTGATGGCCAACCCAAAAACAACATAGAGCTTGATGAGGATGATTACCTTAGAAACCCTACAGCATAGAATAAACATGTAGGTGTAGATGAAGAGCCAATGTACTTAGAGACTCTACCACAGAATGCAGTACATGTTGTGAATTATCAAACTCAAAGGTATAAAGGCAATGGTGACAAAAAATGGAAAGGGCAACACAAGTGCCCTATTTGTGAGGACTATGGACATCATTGGCATAACTGCAAGAGGGGCAGACTTGAAAACATTGAAGCTTTGAAAGCAACCGGGTAATAATGTGTCTACTTCTACTATCATTTATGTTTTTCCTTCCTAAAAAACATAGTGTCGGTGTTTTGTAGACCGACTAGTGAATTTATACGAATGTCGCGCTGGTCCAAAAAGACGATGGTAGCATCCAAAAGACACGAGGAGTTATACTGGTTTAGGCCAGAGCCCTACGTCCAGTCTCAGAGGTGATTGAGTGTGTGTTTCTCGCTTGAATACTCTGAAGTTCTTATAATGGGGGGTGCAAGAATGGTGGAAGAGGTAGGAGAGCTAGAGCTAGGAGACGGACTGCCCGAAGGAAAGCTTCAAGAGTCCAGAGAATGTGAAGATGATGTTTGGAAGGGTGCCCTGGCTGCCCTTATATAGAGTCCGGGGCCAGGCCACATACAAAGAAGAAGGTTCTCCCAACCGAGGGGTCGTGAGCCTGAGGGAGGGGGCCTAGCTAACTTGGCTTGCAAGTAACGTCGTCTTGTGGTGCACGTCCGGGCGTGGATGTCGTCATGGTCTTGTGCCCACATCATGGCATGGTGTGACGTGGTGCTACAGTGTCGGTCATGGTGGCACTGTGGACACGGTGATGTTTCCCCAGTCATCCTGTGTGACGTGGTCTCGCCATGGCCTTCTTCATCACCTCCTGATCATTCGGGGGCGTCAGACAGGAGTTGGTAGCTGCCCCTAGGTCGTTGATCGTCCTATTGTTGGTGGAGTTAGTGGCCACGATCCCAAGCCCCGAGGTCATGGATCTTGTTGGCTTGGATGGCCTCTATGTCAAGGCCACCATCGTGGATCCCATCCCGTGGTGGGTGCAATAGTACATATGTCTTGTCAGACCATATCTGGATGGTGGCTTACCGTATTGGCCATCACTGCTTGGTGGTGTTGTCTTGTCTCTACTGTGTGGCGTAGGGATAGCGTCTGACCGGGCTGAGGGGACTGCTATCTCCTCGGTCCTTGCAGGGTTAGTGCGGCGTGCCTGCTCTTGCCAGAGCATGCGCGCTTGGTGGGATTGATCTCTCCCCGTTCCTCCTAAGGGTCAGGAAGGTGAGAGGTCGTGAGTTGTTGTGTAGCGGTGGCTAAGGCAGAGGGAAGGGGTCATGGTAGACCCTGGCCTTAGTGTTTAGCCCGGTCCGCTCAGCTTAGGTGGCCCCAATCATTTGGGCTTATACTGGTTGGCATATTGTGGGTCGCCCAGGTGGCTAGCTAATCGGTGCCTTTAGATACCCGCACTACTATAGATTGATTTATCATTGTCGCCACTATCAGTGTCGTAGCAATAGAAGCGACCGTGTGATACTTCCACCGTCGATTGGAATGATAGCGAGGCCTCCTAGGAATTAAACCGGTAGTTCAGACTTCTACCACCGACGGGTTAATGTTAGATGCGGCAGTGGTATTGGGGTTGTATTTGCTCCGTCGCATGAAAAGCCGGGCTGACTGGGACATGCATTTTGTTCGTCGGCCCTAAGTTAGCGTTTGGTCAAGCAGCGGTAAATTCAGCGTGAGTGTTGGATTGCCTCAACTTCCAAGGCCGTCAAATCATCATTACTTTCGCCGCCTGAAGCCTAAGAGCCGTACCCTCTGCTCTACATATACTTCAAGCCCGGTGCCCTCTAAAACCACCCCTCTTCTTCATCCATCATCTCCTTCTCTTCTAATCTACAAAGAAAATGTTGGACCACCCCATCAAGTTTCCAAGCAGCCCGTCATCCACCGAGGATGACTTACCAGCCCACCAGTCCTCTGAGGACGATGTCTCCTCTGATGACTGGAGGTCTTCTGATTATAGTCCTCCATGGAGCTCCGAGAAGGAGGACCTAGAGGAGGAGGACGAGGACGACGCCGACGCCGACGCCGAAGACGATGACGACAACTCCGACGACTCCGACTCTAACTCCAACCACTCTGACTCTATAACACCCTAGTGTTAAGCTTTGCATTTGGCACCTATATTTCATGAGCACAAGCATCATCCAAGCATTCATGAACATGAGCATATGAAATTCCATCTCATTCTTATACCTTATCACATGAAAAGTTGATTTTATATATATGGTTATGCTTGTAATCATGTATGACCAATGTATGAAAAGATTGTGAGGTCATGAAAACACCTTAGACACATCTAGGATGGTAAATGAAACAATGTTTATATTCATGACATAGACCAAATTTGCTTCTAAGTGTTGGTTTACTTTGAAATGCCATTTTCATGACACTAGTTTGACCAAAGTTGAACAATAGCTTAGAGTGTTTGCATTGCTGTGTGACCTAAATAAAAGTTGTAGTTCACATCATGGGTAACAAACTTTATTTAAGGGTCATAAGCTAATTCAGTGTCTAACATGGTCAAATAGAGTTCACAAGTATCAACAAATGCTGTTTGGTGACTTCGGAATTTTTCTAACTGTTGAAGCTGTTTTCAGTTTTAAAGTACCTCACTTTAGAGCTTCGTAGTTTGAAAACCATTGGGAATTAGGCCAATCTCCTTTAAGCATGTTTGTAGTACTCACTTAGCTCTACAAATTTGATTAAGGAAGTTTTCAAAAATTCGCCATGGATTAGGAGTTATAGAGTCACTAAGTCACGCTATCAGTCGGGCTCAATGGCGTCTAAATCGGCGCCGCGTGCGCCCATGGTGGCCGTACGCCGGCGTCGGCCCCACTAGTTAGGCCGACGCGGGCAACAAAGCCATACGATGCCGCTGCCCTCCCTTGCTCGCCCGCATTCACGCTCCTCTGCCTTGCTTTCGCTCTCGCCGTGCCCGAGCGAAATCGTAGCGCCGCCATCGTTGTTGTCGAGCTCGCTCACTGCCGCCAACGCGCTATTGTTCGCTTGCTCGCGCGCATCGCTCGACCATCACCTCC